TGCTAAAGCCTCCAAAGAAAACCTAGAAATCTATCTGGATAAACAGACCGCTCTTTTTAATTAATTTATTTTTAGAAAATTAAGAGCAGAAAATTACAACTTCTGGTTCCGCTAGAAAATTCTTTATGTTAAAAGCAGGTTTTTCCTCTCCACTGTCGCTACAAGCATGCTTAGTGTGATAGGACCACAGCTCTAACTGAGCCTCTCTGAGCGTATATCCTGTGGCTGAAACCATGAAAAGTTCAAAGGTCAGTCATTTGGTTTCTTCTCTCCACTGGAGTTAATATTCTAGTTTTAAACAGAATAAAAAACAAACGTTACGCGTATTTATGCTTACCTTCCCGGTGGATTTCACTCCTTTCCAGACGCAGAAATAAACCAGAATCCAGACGGTTATCAGACACAAGATCAGCTCCCAGTTAAACTCCCCGGGTTCATCCAGACCAGACGAGATGTTCAGCACTTTGTTCCTGCACAGCGAGAGGACAGAAGGCAGCTATGGTTTACGGAGACGATGCTAACGCCGACCCAGCCGCACCCAGAAAGAGAACTCACTCCCAGAACTCAATGATGGGCGAGCGTGCGTCGGCCAGGTCCGAGCAGGTCAGGTTCCCGCTGCCGACCGTGGCGTTGGCCAGGCTAGAGTTCTTGCAGTCCTGGTGGTGGAAGATCTCCAGGCAGTTAGGCGTGTTCCAGTCGTTTTCACAGTTGGACCACGGAAGGGTGGAGGTAAAAGACTTGACCAGGTAGTAGAAGCCCCAGGCCAGGACCATGATGTAGTAGGTGTTACAGAAGAACACGATGACCATGGAGGCGTAGCCCAGACCTGCAGAGAACACGGCGGGTTCAGCAAAGCCGGCTAGGCGGTACGCTGATCTATAAATCCTGAACGGCTTTGCTCCAAAATACATTACAGACTGTTTGGCAGTGGATCGACAGCCAGACCTCTCAGGTCTCCTGCTTCCAATCTACTCTGCAGAATCAGAACCAATTATGGAGAAGCAGTTTTCATGGTTCATTAATCTGGAATAAAATCCCAGAAAACTGTAAAAGTGCTAAAACTGAAGCTACTTTACAATTAAGATTTAAAAACACCTTAGTTTATCACCTGTTATGTTATTCTTATACATTTTTCTGAGGTCCACATTTGTGTTTCTGAAATGTTTTGCTGCTGTAAACACCAGAATTTCCCCAATGTGGGACAATAAAGGGATTTTCTATTCTATTCTAGAGCCACCTTGAAATATTTGATATATAGTCTATTAGTTAAACTCACAGCTGCCTATATCACTGCAAAAAAAAAA